TGTAAACTAAATTCTTCTGTGAGGTTGGGAGTCTGGGACAGCAAGGCAAGGAATCTCTGCACAAGTGTTTGCTTTATAACCAGCCACATGACCTCCAAAAGGAAGGTTTTTTATTATCATTAATACATCTGATGCTGGATAAATCTTCGATAAAGGTAACTTCACTTGGTCCAACATGAGAGAATGATGTTTGCTCCTACACACTTGATTATTGTGGATCCTTCCCCTCTCGAGACAAATTCAAGGGTTTTATCGTCAATTCCATGATGACCATGGACCGTAGATGAAGACTTCATTTAAACAAGGATCCTTCCCCCCTCAGATCAGAAAAGATACATTTACCCTATCATAGTCATCAACAGACCTTCAATAATTGGACTGTTGTCTCAATCGCAGTAGGCTAAGGTACTCTGACATGAGTAAGATCAAACTAACGAAATTGAAGCTTACTAGTTGGAATAAAGAAGCCTTACATAAAACTATGTTCCACAAGTCCTTACAAGATCCCATGCCAGGATGCTTCTAATATTATATCAGAGTTGAAGGATTTATGTTTGGCATAAATTAAAAACTGTTTACTTAAGGCAAATATCAAACTGAAACCAAAAGCATAAACTCAGGGTCTCAGAATACATGGACGAAATTCCAAATTCTTCCAAAAAGTTGTGGTTGCTAGGGCCTAGGAGTAAGAGCCTAACCATTAAACTTGTTCCTAATGAACAAGTCTAGTTGCTTTCTGCAAAGAAGGATAGAGAGGAAGAAATTTGTAATTGCCTCCAAACTAATATGCTCTGAATCCTAGATCTATTTGCCAAGGGAAATAAATTGACACTCATCCTTGTGGCTCAAAGGGGCATAACTCAAAATGTCCTTTAATGAACATGACATTTAACAAGTGGTGAAAGACGCAGGGAATTCAAAATCCCCTAGTCCCAATGTGTTCTCAGTTCTCACCTGAATTTTCCAACCATAATCAGAGAAACAGGTGTCAGCTAAAAGTAAAACCGAAAAAACATATAGAACTGAGTCAGTACGACTGGTTTTAACAATGTGGATTGGTCAGTTCATTGATAAGGTTAAATTTAAAATTGGCTTTTATTAAAGTTAAAAGACCAAATATCTAACGACTTTAGACTGGAAAGTTTGTTATGCAAAAACCAGAGTTGTAATCACTCAACTTTCAAATTCCATAGTTTCGAATGGTAAAAAGTATAGGAATTCACTTCAAATCTATTTTCATTTGAAATCTTTTAAACTCATGTGGAACATAGGGAGCATCCATTTTATCAATGATTCTAGTAACTCATTTCTGAGTGATGTGTCAAACAGGCCAAAGAATGCTACACTGGTCTGGTAAACACATTGATCCTCACGGAGAATACACAATCACAAATGATGATAAACACACCTCACCAAAGAATAGGATGAATAGGAAATGAAAATTTTGTCTCAAGGTAGAAGGTAAACAAAACATGGGCTAAATATGTGGAGTAATATAATAGTAACTGACCTTAGAGATTGCGGACTAGCAAAGCCACCTGAAACATAGGGGCACCAATCAATTAAAAAAATGTATAGTTGAACTAGTTGTATGAGGTGGGAGCTTAAACAAGTAGACAGAAAATCTGTAATCAGAATTACCAGGTGAAAGTAGGTGAGAGAAATTTCTTACATGCCCAAAGCTTCTACACTGGTGCAAAATCTAAATGAAGAAAATAAGGCAGGTAAGACACGTGAATAAACTATTGCACGTAAAATAACCAAATGACACCACCTTTCACTTTCATTTAATTTCACAGAGAGAGGTAATAGGAAGACTAAAGAGATACACAGCAAATACTTAGAGCTTATATTAGGTGGTTCATGCATTGTCAAATATACATCTTATTTATTAACAGTACAAGCATGTCCAGGTCCAGACAATGCGCACAAGGTGACAAAAACTCAAGAAAACGAAACTACCTCTTTCACAGCAATGGAACGAACTCTTCCTGCAGAAACGGAAGGTCTGACATCCCGCAAATGCGCAGAAAACTGAAACGAAAGCACTAAAGAATTAGAAGACTACACATACCGACACAAATCATACGTATACCATCATGTACGCCAGGGAAAAATGGATAGAATGCTCTGAAACTTACAAGATTAGAGCCTCCAGACGCAACTCGTCGCCTCACGACCCCAAAAATCATTTTCTCAGCTTCTGCCCAAGCAAATCAAACGAAAATCAGAGCACCGATCAAGTTACAATACAAAAAATCCACACAACAGCATGCTTTCACAATTCCGGTGCTAATAATACATCAGAGCAGAAAAGGAACTTCTAAATCAAATGCGCACATCGCGACACACCAAAAAGAACCTAAAATCAAAACAAGATCACAGAAACCGATTTCCCGATCGCACAAACAAACAGAAACACTAAAATCACTCAATCAGAACAAAACACGAATCGATTGAAAGCGCTTACCGGAGCGACAGAGACCGGAGGAACTCGGGGGGATCAACGCGGAAGGGTTTCAAAGAGAGACAGCGAGAGGAGGAGGAGGGAAGAAAAAGGAATGTTCGAGCACGTTTCGATTTGTTTCCTTTCCTCCATTGCGCCATGATATGGAAGGCTGCACAAGGTGTGAGCCAGCTCACATGAGCTCGACACGTGTCGTGCTGTGATTGGGGAGGGGGAGTTGAGAGGGGTGGGAGGAGGAGCTCGTTTTGGGCTTTTTCTGTTATGGGCCCATTTAATTTACTGTGTCACAGTCAGCTTTCTGAATTTTTAGGGTTTGACCTAATTGCCCCTCGTGCCTTTGGCCTAATTTCAATTCAACCTTATGTCTAGTTTTGGAAACCAAAAAAGTGTGACGAGAAATTTGTACTGAAAAATTGGATGGGAAGAAAGAATCCGTCCGCCTAACTTGAAAACCTATGCTTAATTTTCCATTTTTAATTTGAGGCACCGTTTGCTTTAAAGGGAGAGGAATCAAATAATTGAAATACAAATTTTCTCTCTCTTTTACGTGAATTAAATCACTCGTTAATATTATTATTCATCCCCTATAATTTGGAAACTCACCTCAAACTTGGAATCATCTTTTTTTTTTTTTCTCTTTTTTCGTAATTTCATTTCTTTTCTACAACTTTATTCTCTCTATGTTTGTTTTACTTCTAATAGACTAATTTTGTCTAGTAACAAATTATAATACTTAGTCCATATGATTTTAGTATTAAATATTATAATTGTTATGGGCTTCATTGTTGGCCACACGAATCAAGACTACGGATGTAGATTGATGGATCAAATCCCGAAGAACTACGTCCTTTGAACGAAACTAGTAATGGACCAAATAGGTCAAGTCCAAGTCCTATCTCTAGTTTGAGGCGTCTATGATCGAATAGTCATAAGTTGACGCTATCTTCTCAATGTTAATGAGAGATTGTCTAGACTTGAAACGAAGGTTCCGACAAATAGAAGAGAAAAGAAAAAACGATATGTTAGTAACTTTAGATTTTTTCTTTTGATAATATACTATTTTTTCTCACGATTCACGTAAACTCAGTTATAACTTAAGCATCCAAGTGCATAACTAGTACCACACCAATTTATAATATTTCTATTTCGCAGGTTTCATCCTTTTTTTATATATATATATAGAAAATTGGTATAAATTTGGTTATTAAGTAATCCAAATTTCACGTCAACAATAACAATAAAATAGTATTGTTAAAAAGTGTGACAAGAAATTGAATTAAACTTTTACCTAATTCTGGATATTGAAAAGTGTGACGACAAAATTTCTACTTAAAACTGGATGAAAAGAAATAATCCGTCCACCTAACTTGGAAACCTCTACTTACTCTTTCAGAAAAAAAAAAGTGTGGTTTGGTGCTACAAGTAGTAGACTGATTTGAATCTTCTTTTTCCATTTTCCTTGGTTTAAATACTATTATAGTGAACTAAAATATATATATATATATATATATATATATTTTTCAATTTTTGTTCATATATTTTTAAAATGTCAATTTTTATCTCTGTACTTTTAAAAAGTTACTACTTAGTCTCTTAATTTTATTTTTTCCATCAATTTTAGTACGATGCTTCACTCACTACTTTTTTTTAGATGTAGCATATATTTTTATTAAAGGGTTTTCATTGTATACAAATTTTTGTTAACATTTTGTAAGGGACCAAATTAGTCGCTCTTAAAAAAATACAGTCACTCGAACAAACCTTTAAAAATATAATTTTTAAAATGAACAAAAGTTGAGAGTACATAATAAAAATAAATCAAACTGAAAATACAATGGTCAAACCCAAAATAGGTTTTTTTTTTTTGTTAAAATCACTTATCGATAAAAATTGGCCACTATAAAGGCTCATTTTTGTTTATTCGTTTTGAATAAAGAAAATATAATTACATGGTTCCAACACCCATAAATTTATGGATGATCAAACAATATTTGCATTTATGTTTTGTAACAAACTGGAAACATAAACAATAAACTTGTTTGGATTGTTTCCAAGTCCATACAATTTTGAGAATGTTTCCAAATAATAGAAATAAAAAACATAATTAATTGCAAAATGTGTAGGTTTCTTAATAAAATTTGGAAATGAGAAACAGTAAACATGAACATTATCAAACGAGCAACTGACCAAAATCGAATCAAATTGACCTACATAAATATGAATTAGACTGATTAGCCATTTTCATGGTATAGTCTTTTTTTTCCATCTCACCTTTTGTTTGTTTAACATTATTTTCACTAATTTCCTCATGTTTTCCAATAACTATAAATACCATGTTGAAAATTGAAATTAGGTCTAGCTTGAATTTTGCATTGTTAATATGCATTTTGTTTCGGAGTATAAACCAATGCATACATTTTCATTGATTTAAAAACTATTTTATTCCTCCGAAAAAAAAAGCCTATTTTACTGTTTTTGTTTTTATTTATTATGTTCTCTATATTTTAAAAATATTTATTTATTTTATCTCTATATTTTAAAAATATTTATCTTAATTATTTTACTTCATTTTTTTATTTATTTTAGTACAATATGTGGAGTGGGAGATCGAACTCACAACCTTTTCATTGGAGACATATGTCAATTATCGTTGAGCTATGACTTTGACTTTTATTTATTTTAGTTTTACTTTCAAAATGTTAATCTGGATTATTTTTCAATTTTTTCATTTTAGTCTTACTTTCAAAACATTATCTTTTGTCCATTTTGATAGTTCATTTTTATTTCTATTTAACTTATTTTAATCAAATTTTTAATATGACATTTCACTCAAATAGGTTATGAGGAGAAACTTTTTCTCCCTATTTTGTCATTTTAATTTCAACATTCCTATAGATATTTTGAGGACAATTTTGTCTTTCAAATATAAAATTTTCTCTCTCACTCCCCCATTTCTCTCCCTCCCTTACAAATTTTACATTTCTCAAATTAATTTTCCCTTTCTAATAAACTCTCCTTCTTGAAGGTTAGAATATAATAGTTAGAATATGGATGGTTTTGTCTCTTTATTTTTACGTTAAAAAGTTATAACTTATTTTGAATTATAATTAATAAGGAATTTCAAAAGTTTCGTAACTTTTTATTTTCTACTAACTATATAAAGAATTTTTTCTTACTCTTTCTCCCAACATTTTCTTCATCAAAATTTGAGTTTCTTTTCTCTTTCGGTATGTAAATTTTCGTTTTTAGCCAATGTTTTGTATTTTCTTATATTTAGTTAGATTTTTTGATTGAATATTCAACTTTTTTAGTTTTTTTTTTCAAACGACTCAATGAACTGGAAAAATGAAAGTGGAAATGAGTGATAAGATCAAATCACCTTGGACGGATCCACTTTAGGATGACACTTGGTAACTGTGAGGACTCTCTCAATGACCTCCTCCTTGGTAAGGTGATCATCGTGTGATGAAAATAGCCGGAGCAACCCATCGGAACATGGCTGCGATTGGCATTCCTGGCGAGCTAGGGCAAGGAATTGAACCGGAACTCAAACATGGCAAAGAATGGTTGCCCTGAACGCATCTCTATCTCTCACTTTTTTTTGTCATTTTATTTTTCAATGACTCAAATAAGAAATTGAAACAAAGTTGTATTTACTTTTATGTATTGTTATGTTGAGGGAAAAAAGATGAAAAATCCATGAATATGTGTTTTTTTTAGAAAAAAAATTTAAGTAATTGAAAAATAATATTTTTAGTCACACTAACCACATCAGTGGGTGATAAGAATTATTGAGATGTTTTATGAATACGAAAAAAACTTGGTGAGGTAAACAATTAGAGATAAAAAAAACCAAATTATATTATAAATTTTTACTATTTAATTAAATTTTATATTTTTAAACATTGAAATAAAAACTATGAAATTTCATGTGCACCGCACATGCTTCTTACTAATTTACTAATTTATTGAAATGCAACCATAAATTTATATTTACAAAATGTTTGTTGGTAGAAAAAAAACTTAATCAATTGAAAGTAAGCTCAAACTATTGAAATCAATTTGCTTTTTATCTCAATTATTTTTTCTTTATTATTATATATATTTTATAATTTGGTTTGTAAATTTGTAGTGCTGTATTTAATTGGTCCTAAAATTTCAAAAAAATGTCTTATAAATTATTAAATTTTCAACGTATTGTCTTATAGATTTTAAAACATGTTTAGTAAAAGTTTTTAAAGCTCGTTATGTATATATGTAATTTTTTTTGGTAAAAATCTCTTATCTTATTTCTTCTT